ACCCGCAAAAGACGAGTCCGAGCCCGGCGATCTTGAGGAACTGGACCCTGGACCGGACGGCCTGCATGGGGACCACCCGGAGCCAGGCGATGGCGGCGTAGCTGAGGAGGGAGCAGGCGGTCATGTGACACATCGTGAGGAAAATTGGGTACTTGAAGCCGTAGCTTGAGAGGAGGTACTTGTTGAGGAGGAGGACGCCGATGTTGGAGGAGTACCAGGAGGTGACGAGGCCCACGGTGAAGAAGCGGCCCGTTAACAAAAGAACAATTCTACTAACTCAAAAGTCACATGTGCAATATACATAGGCCTGTCCATCCGGGCCGGCCCGGACCGGCCTGGCCCGGAAATTCGGGCCCGGGCCGGGCAAAACCGAGACCCGGACCCGGACCCGGGTACCCCGGGCCGGGTCCGGGCCGGGTTCCGGGCTGGCCCGGGTGATTTTTCTTTTTTTTATTTTTTTTTATTTTTTTCCAAAATTTTTTAATGTTATTTAACTTATAAATTATAAAAAAAAGACAAGAAAAATAACAAAAACAATAATTTTATTAATTACTTAAAATGACATAAATTACAAATAAGAAATGATAAAAACATATTCTTTATTAATAATTGATAAATCAGTTACAAATTACAAGTACAAATTTATTTTAGAATTAATCGCATCACAATAGATAAGTAAATCCCAACTAGGTTGGCACCTACTCACCTATATCGCTATCATTTGTAATTATTTTCAAAATAATTCTTTACAAATTTTAAGCTAAGATATAAAAACTACAATCTATTCTTTATATCTATCGCTAGTCTCAATTCTTCAAATTTATCTTCAATTCCAGCCATCTGATCGATGCCTTGCGTTCGCTTCTCGTACCTCCACCAATCTTGTAAGCACATCACCGCTTGTACAGTATACGGATCCAAGCATGTCCTGTGATCGTCGATCAAACGACCTGCTGTGCTGAAGGCGGATTCCGAAGCTACCGTCGAAACCTGTACTGTTAGTAAGTCACGAATCATGGTGGAAAGTATAGGATATGAAACTGATCCATATACTTTCCATCATTGCAAAATATCTAAAGCATTTTCTTGACATCTAACTAAAGAAGCAGAAAAATATTCATCTATTTCAGAAATCTCCGATGATGACGCTCCAAGTCCAGATCCACCAGTTAGCTCAGCTACCATTGCATACCTATCAAAACTTACACTTTTACCTCGGGATGAGCTCGAAGAAACCGAAGCTGTAGGCTGTTGTGTAGTTACACCATGTCTAGCTGCATACTCATCATATAAGGTTTGAAAATAATTTTTAATAACTAAATGATGAGTAGTAGCAGTAAGGATGGTTCCATCATCTAAGTCTATAACCTGATTACCATACAAGGATTGTAACAAACTTCGAAGGCCAATATCCTTCAAGCATGGATCAATAAGAACCCCCAAACCAAAAATATGAGGAATAAGCCTAAAATACTTATTAAATTTGCTCTTATTAAATTTGCTCTCCATTTCAAAAACCATAGGTCCAAAAGTAGCATCCAAACGATATTTATCAAAAAAATTTTGAATATTTAAAATTTGTAAAGCAGCTAAAGTAATGGTTGGATAATAACAGCCAGATAATAACATGGTAGCATCATAAAAAACTTGTAACATTTCATTTAAATTACATATAACTGTCCATTCATCTTCAGTTATTCCATAAGTGCTACCAGAACTAGAACTAGAAGCATAATAGTTTATAAAATCAGTTATAATGTCTTTATATTCTATTGCTACACTTAACATTGCATATGTGGAATTCCACCTATGGTCAACATCTTTTGGAATTAGTCTAGGCTTTTTACATTTTTTCTTTTACAAAATTGTTTCCATCTTTTAAGTCTTTGTTCAGAAGCACTATGCATGTAAGCAACTATTCTAACATTTTCTATCATGGGTTTAATTAAGTCTTTGTTCAGAAGCACTATGCATGTAAGCAACTATTCTAACATTTTCTATCATGGGTTTAATTTAAGTAAATGCACTCTGAACAATTAAATTTAAAATATGACAGATGCACCTAATATGAAAAAGATCACCATGACATGACAATGATAAAGATGATCTGAGAAAATTAACAGCTACATTGTTATTACTTGCATTATCTAGTGAAAGAGAAAATATTCTTTCTGAAATTTCTAATTTTATAAGTTCTTCAATTATTAAATTTGCAACATTAGCACCAGTATGCGACTCTTCTATTGCAATAAAAGAAATAACTCTTTTAAACATTTGCCAATTTTCATCAATCCAATGTGCTGTGATACATAAATATCCAGTTTGTGCTCTAGATGTCCAAATATCAGAAGTTAAAGAAAATTTACAGTTTAAATTTTAATAAGAAATTATTTTTTCTTGTTCCTGCTGCTGATAATATTTTAAAATATCACGTTGACAGGTTTGACGAGAAAATTTTTAAATGCAAGATAAAAATCATCTCTAAACATATCTTCAAATTCATCATCTTCTACTAATTTAAAAGGAAGGTTTTTAAGAATGATAAACCTGATTACGCATTTCCTGGCTCTGGCAGCGTCATAGTTCCAACTACCGAGACTACCAGAAGAGGAGGATTGAGAAATCATAGATTGTCGGATATCACCTTGAGGAGTCTGGCCTTTGTTGTGTTTATCTAAATGGCGTTTGAGGTGGTTGGTGCCGCTCTTATGATGAGCTTGAAAAATCTTGCCGCACAAAGCACACTTAGCCTTCTGGGTGAGGATCCTACCGTGTTCATCCTTGGTGACGTCGATCTTCTCGTAAAAATTCCACACATCGGATCTTGGCCGTTTAGGAGCTCTTGGTGCAGATTCGTCGCCACCGGATTCGAGATTAACTTCGGTAGGAGGACTCATAGTAGGAGGACTCATAGTAGGAGGACTCATTTCAGGATCAGGAGATATGTTTTGCTCTTCATAATCAGATCCGGAAGCCATTTGGGGATTGGATTAGAAAGTATAAATAAGAGAGTATAAGAGTATAAGAGAGAGTATAAGAGTATAAGAGAGAAGAGATGAGTTTTTGGTGTGAAGAAAACAAATAAAAACGGGCCCGGGCCGGGCGCCGCTGAGGCAACCCAGACCCGGGCCCGGAACCCGGCCTGGCCCGGATTTCCGGGCCGAGGCCGGGCCGGGCTCCGGGCCGGCGGGTATTTTGGACAGTCCTAGGTATACATGTCACCGAAATAATAATATAATTTTTGTATATATAACTTTTTATAAAAACTCTAGTGATAGAATTTTTACTACTATTTATAAAGTAAATTTCCTAACAAATTAACAAAATAATCAATTAGCAAGTTTTATTAAATTTCTTTCCTGAAAATAACTATATATGTGAAATATTTGATAAAGGTCTAAATTATCATTTGCAAGACAAAAAGTAGATATGAAAAGTATATATTACTTAGCTGGAACAGGGGCCAAAAGGAGCAAAAATTCATTGTAGCATGTATATCATCATTAATGAATAGTGACATTAATCATAAAAAAATACTATAGCATGAATAGTGTTTACTATTCAAAACTGTGTTGTTGCTTGAAGACTGGTTTAATTTTCTGAATTATATTGTAGCAAGAATAGTGTCTACTGCAGTGTAAACAATAATTTTAATGTATATCTTTTAAGTTAAAAAAAAGTAATAGATATCTACGTCAGAAGCATTATCTTTTATGAATTGACCCAGAACAACTGGTATATGAGCACTGTTCTGATCTATGCATGGAAATTAAGGGAGTGATTGAGTTGTTCGGATATTATGTCTATTTTTTTAATTTTAATATCGAATATGAGATTAAAATTTGTGCCTTTTTGTGGTTGAAATCATGATAAAGGAATGTATGTTCACCTATTTCGTCAAAGTTAGTCGCAAACCGCTTTTGTGTCTATTTGTTGAAGATAAAGGACACTACGATGAACGTATTGATAAGTATATGCTGGATATTTTTGTACTACTCAGCATATTGAAAAAAAAGATAATAAAAGCTGGCATAACGGTGTTGACCGTTTAATTTAACCTATTGAGCATTACAAAATTATATTGTCACTTTGAACCCAAAATCTTATCTTGAAATGTCCCTAACGTACTTATCTACGTTTCTGATAACCTCTTGCCATCAATAGTTCTTATCGACTTAATCCTGCAAATAAGCACTGGGTTTTTGTGCAAAAGATGTCTTTTTTTTTCCTTCTTTTTTACTTAAGGGCTGTTTGGTTATTTCCTAAAAAACCAAAAAATAGAAATGCAAACCAAGAAAACTCAAACGTACAATTTCACACATTTCCATCCCTAAAACTCACCCACAACATCTAATAAACAAGTCTGGTTCGAATCGGTACTCGACGTTGACAGCGGTTGAGTACCAAATCGATGTGACAGGTCTGGGGAGTTGTCCGATTTAAAACATGGTGACAACTTTTCAAAATTTTTTCTTTTTTAAGTGACACAAAATGACGGAAAAAAAATAGCACTATGGAAAAATCATAACCTGAAAGCAGGAATCACATGTGGGGATCCAACACTCATACGTGCATCTGCATGTACGTATCTACGTATGTGCGTATGATAGAATAATGAGTATGAATACTAATTATGTACATGGTAGGATATGGATACAAACACATATATATAAGTAAAACATGCATTCATATCCCAATATATGTATTGATCTTTGTAATTAATTTGAGCTTTAGATGAATGAAATTTTGACATTTGTGGAGTCAGACTTTACATGAAGAATACAACAAGACCTACAATTGAAACACTATAGAGTCAACCCCTATTGACGAAGTGTATAGAGGCACAACGGCCCATGTTCATAATTAGCAAACATGATGTGAGCATGATAAGTTTCATATACAATTTGTATCCAGTTCGTCTTCACCTTTGCATACATATTTTGGCATCTATTTTAAATTTGATGATTGCCCTCTTACCCTTGTACCATTATCTTTAATACATTTTTTTTTCTACAGGACCGTTTAACTTTCCGATGGATATTAGGGTTCGTACTGATATTCTATGTTTATAATGCCGATTAAAATTGACGGTAAAACACACTCAAATGTAATATATATACATGATTTCATTGAGCGTCTTCCATTTTTTTTTTTCCGACGGTGGTGACCCAGTGCAAAATTAATAAAAAGACTATACTTATTTGTAAGTTTTGATGGGAGCGCAACCTAGATGAAAACGGACGAAAAGGAAAGGGGCGCAGCGACGGACGCGCGCGCATGAGTCACGCGCGAGCGGAAAACTTGGGCGTGGACCTCACTTTCCTCCGTATTTACGCCAGTGCCACCTTTCGCTCATGCTACTCATCATCTCCAACGCTTTGTGGTCATGAGCTCCTCGGCTTTTCATGAGGGTTACGTAGTCGCACATGGCCCATCGCTAGTTTTAGGCACAATTTCTTGTATTGTGGATTTTAAATCTCCTTATTTTAACAGGTCTACAGCAAAATTTTGCATAGTTTCCAGAGAATAGTGAATAAACATTAAGGAGTGCGGCTGTTTACATCATAGGTAGAATCGGTATGATTCTCAAACCAGTGGCGTAGCCAGGAATTTTTTTTGCCCTAGACGAAAAAATAATCCTGGCTGGCGATAAATCCCAAGGCGCAAACATCGGCGAAGGAGATGACTCGTCCTCCTGCTCCTCCGTCGTCGGAGTCGGCATAAAACCTAGCTTTAAGCGGAGTGCGGTAAAAGACTGTTGTAGGAACTCAAAGGGATTGTGTCGAGTAAGAGGAAGTAGAGGAGGCCGATGTTGACAGTTGTGTCGAGCACCGTCAGGCTATACTTTTTATTTGTATTACTATTGTTTAATCTTTTACAAATAAAACGACACTTTTATATGTGTCATAAATTAAATGTTGACACATACAACTTTTGTTGTAGTGCTCATAACTTCTTTCCATTGTCCTCTAGTAGAATGACCAAAGATAATACAAGTATAGGTATTGCAAAAAGTAAATCTTAGATAGCATTATACATCGGCCCTTGTTTGCATAGAGCGCCATGTTGTAAGTGAATGCGTCAGGCTCAACATCACATTGTATTTTCATCTTCTTCTCCCTCTCTCTCTCTCTATATATATATATATATATACACACACCAAAATCTTGCCCTGGGCAGCTGCCCAGGGCAACTCTCATGTGGTTACGCCACTGCCTACAGAGGAAGCGCAGGAGAAAGAGCGAAGCAATCTTTTTTTGGGGCGCGATTTTACCCTAGACTATTAGGATTTTCTAATTGGGAATATAAGAATTGGATAACTGGGTTTGGTTTTAGGTTCTAAACCCAAACTTGAATAACCGAGTTCTTAAAAACCAGCATATCGACCAATGTTTGGAGGCCGACTTATCGGCCGATATGTTCGATGTATATCACGACGTGTCCCGATTAAAAACCAACATATCGACCGATGTTTGGAGGCCGGCATATCAGTCGATATGTTTGATATATCCTGACACATCCCACTATTTTTCCTCAAAATGCCATACAAGAAGCATGATAGCGCGGTGTTGGAGCTCTCAAATTGACATTGTCGGCCTCCATTTAAAACATTGGTATCATTTGCTTGGTAAATTCAGTATCATATGGTGGATTCAATTACTTCACTTCATATTGGGCTTAGGAGTACTTAGACACGGAGAAATATTACCAAAATAATATTTTATTATATACAACCAAAAGCATTAAAATAGTTTCAAATACAATGTCACATTTGAATCTAGTATAACTTTATGTCAATTACGTTTCTAAAATAGAATAGTGAGAAAGTTACCTTTGACAGTTCATAGGTTCATGAACTAATTTGATTCAAGTTAATCTTCAACTAGTCCTAATGTCCTATATAATGACAGTTTGCAATATTTAAATGTTAAACTCAACTTCATTTTTTGCATATGCTACTTAAACCTTAAATATTGTCGCATATGCTACTTAAACTTTAAATCTAGCTTCATCTAAGATTGAATTGTTAAATGAGACCCATAATAGGTTCATTCTATCCTTTAATGTCTTATGATATTATTGAAAATTATAATATGTTCCAATGCACTATGGGGCTCTTCACAATTTCTGCAAATAGACTATTGGCCTATCTGATATCTTATGCAAGTAAAGTAAATAAATAAACAAGAAGCTTTTAGTCAAACTTATATAGCTCAAGAAGAGATAGATTGTGACAACCGAGTGAAATTATTATGATGATTTTGATTTTTGCTTTTAGAATATCAGAACACCTGCATTAAAAGATTCAATAGTTTCTATTCGGCTTTAAACACCCAGATAAAAAAGCTTGTTATTTTTTTAATAATAAAATTCTTCTTTGCTTCAGATATTGAGGTACTCATATGCACTCTTTCTTGAGCGAAAGTGTTAAAGTTGTCCTTACTTTCCTCTTGTATGATTAGTATTGCACTTTATAAACTGATATAAGGAGTTATTTTGCCTTGCAGTTCAGAAGATCAGGATGCCTCTTTTGTTGTTCGCCTTCAAAAACATACTGGCCCAGTAACTCTCTAAATTAAGCTTTGTTTTGAATCCTTGTTGAAAGTTTTTTCCATTACTTTTTCTTTGACAGATGTGTGTCCTTGGGATTGCAGGTTAGGGGTCTGGAATTCAGTGCGCTATCACCAAATCTGCTGGCTTCTGGGGCTGATGAAGGGGAACTCTGCATTTGGGATCTGGCGAAACCTCCAGAGCCTAATTTGTTTCGATCTCTTAAGGTAATGATTAGGTCATATTTTTATCAATTACTTGGCGCCCATGTATATGATTATTACTCCATTAACAAATGATGTATGCTTGTCATATAGTATTATAAATTGTTTATTTTTACTATATGTTTATGAATTGTATGCTTGTCATATAGTATTATAAATTGTTTACTTTTACTATATGATATTCTGCTATAGCATATTTTTCCATTACATATTCAACTGTATCATTTGCGGTTAAATTTCTCCTATTTTGGTGTTCCACATGAATTTATATAAGTTTCAGTAATCTATTGTTATTCATATGGAGTCCTTATGAGGAAATTAATAGATAAAGGGACTTTTTCAGCTACCTAGGCTGATTTTTCTGTTAATTTTCCATTAATTGATCCCACCTAACATTCAGTAAGTATCATCTCTCTAATATACTTGGTATTTGGCAACTAATTATTACAGCAAAACAAAAAAAAAAACTTGACTTAAAATGAGTCCAGGTGGTTGATTGCAAACAAAAAACTAAACATGGTTTTATGTATAAACAAAGGTGGTTTATGTAGAATGACCCTATTTTAAAGGTGGTTTCTAGGACAAAAGCCCTAGATAATAGTACTTGAGGCAGAATAGTGAATAGTGGTGATGACATGACTATCCATAGGGTGGTGCGACCATTCTTGCAGTATGTGTGTCATCACTATCCATAGGGTGGTGCGACCATTCTTGCAGTATGTTTGTGTATATTACTAACTGCCTAGAACTTAGATCCCTTTTTATTTGAAAAGATTGTGGGGAGTAGGATTTGAAGGACATTGTTTAGCATCCTTCCTTAGTTTAAGCTCTCATAAACACATACTGTTCTTGTCTGAGCACTTAATCTTGTCTGATTATCTTTATCTTCTATGTAATGGGACCTCGTGACAGTTTTTTCCCCCTTTTCTTTATTTACTTTTGGGCTGTATTCTTGTGCTCTGTGCATCCAAGTGGTTCCATCAAACATTGTTTTTGAAATGCTGTGGTGTTTCTTGCAATATAGGAATTCATTTTGTTTAACTCTGCATTCTATGCTTTGAAAATTTGAAATTTCCTATAGCAAAATTTAACCATCTAAGAAAATGATCATCATGTGCCATACCATCATGCATGGATGGATATGTTTTTTTTGCTTTTATGCCAAGCTTTCTGTCTATGTTTATAGCCGAATTTTTATTGCATTGATTGATAAGAATTGAAAGCTATCCTTAATTATTTTACTGTAATTACTATGGCAATTAAGATCGTTGACTTCTGTCTCTTTGTGCTATGTAATAGAGTTCTGGATCCGGTGCTCAAACTGAAGTTTCATTTGTATCATGGAATCCAAAATTTCAGCATATATTAGCATCTACCTCATACAATGGGATGACTGGTAAACAATATTGCTTAGATTTTCTCTCCTTTTTTCTGTTTGTGCAATTTATGGTCATTGATGATAAGTTTATGTGGATATTTCTGATACTAAATGAAGCTTTTTTTTTGCAATTTATGATTATGAAGTTGTTTGGGATTTGAAGCAACAGAAGCCAGTGACAAGGCAAGCTATTTTTTCTTGACCTAAATGTTCTTTCTATTTGCCTTTTTTTAATTCCTTGTCGAAGTCCCTAAATTTGACTACTTTAATCATGTAGGTAACGTTTTGTTACTCTTTGCTACAGCTTTTCAGATTCCACAAGAAGGAGGTGCTCTGTTTTGCAATGGAATCCCGATATGTCGACCCAGCTTATTGTTGCATCTGATGATGACAGTTCACCCTCTCTTCGGGTAAGGATTATTTTCACAAATTTAATAATTGCCATAATGCTAGTAGTTACTAAGCGTCTTTCAGTTCAGACAGCTGTGATGTCCATAGCTCTTGATCTAATTGTTTAATTTGGTTTTCTTGATAGGTTTGGGATGTCAGGAAAACAATATCACCATTAAGAGAATTTGTGGGGCATACAAAAGGTTCGTTTGCGAACTTCTAATTGATCTCTGCATATGTTCTCCAGTGTGTGTTGCTCTCAGATATGATATTTTCATGACTGATAAATCATCTAGGCATTGATTATTGTTCTTTGATCCTCTCTTTGGCTCACTGTCTTCTGTGATTGGCTCATTATTTATGGCTTTCTTTGTTCACCTTTCCCTCCAGCCCCCTACATCAATTTTCTACCAGAACTTTTATTCTTCTTCGACATTGCATATATATAGTAGGGATCTTTTCTTGATGTTACATGAGCAAATGAAAATATCTTTCTGATTGCCCTCAGAATCAATAATTTCTGTTCAAAGTTGTTGATGCTAGGGTTACTAGCCAACAAAGTATGTGAACCGTCTGTTGGTTACTCTCAGATGCAAGGATCACTAAAATTTGGCACTGAATGAATTATGCATTTCCCCCCTGCCAACTGATGAAAAAGTTATCTAAGTAGTACTGAACTCGTTCTCCCTTTAATCTTTCTCCCTCAATAATATTTTTTTAGGTTTTTCTCTAACCAAACCATAAATTCTATGCTATTTTTATGTTAGGTCCCAAAATCATTATATTTGTGTTTACACTCCAAGCAATTCAGTTATTTGCAATAATACCCTGATATTTGTAATGTACATTGTACACCCCAAACTTTCATTTCGGGTAAATATGAATATTTGGATGTGTAATTTACAAATATGAAGATTTAAGGGCTTAATCTAAAAGTAGGATAGACTTTATGGCCTAGTACGATAAACATCTTAATTTTTAATGTTTTTGGCGTCTAAGGATTCTCCTACCAGTTGTTTTTCTCCTGATACCATTCTTTTCTCCTAATACCATTCTTCTAATTTCTTTTTCCCCCTCCTTGATTCTTGATGTAGAAATTTTTGTTGCTCAATTTTGTGTTTCTTCAGTGAATGATCTTATTCGTCTCTTTGTTCAAAACGTACTGTCTCTGCATGGTGACTCATTCTACCTCCATTACCCAAAGCTTCAACATTGTTCTTCATGTTAATTCAACCAGGTGTGATTGCTATGTCATGGTGCCCTTATGACAGTTCACAGTTATTAACCTGTGCCAAAGATAATCGAACTATTTGCTGGGATACTGTTGCTGGAGAGGTAAAGACGTTCTTTTCAAGAACTTGCTGGTTTCTTCTCATTTAAATTTCTCAAATGAAACTATGATTTTCTCTTCTCATAACTTTTTACCGGTTTTGTATTATGCAGATAGTTTGTGAACTACCAGCCAGCACCAATTGGAATTTTGATGTTCACTGGTATCCTAAAATTCCAGGTGTCATATCAGCATCTTCATTTGATGTAAAAGTTGGCATATACAATATTCAGGTACTGCTCTTTCTTCCTTTCAATCTTGTTTTGACCAAGGTTGTCAACAGCAAACTGTGTAGTTTTACCTGAATCAAATATTATTGCAATAGCATTTTATTCTCATTATCGAGGGATAATAGTGTCATGCTTGGGGCCTGCGGACCCGTTGGCGCGATGTAAGCCTTGATACTCACTGATGCAACACATTGTTTGGCTCAAACCATTGTCCAAAATGATTAGCCATTGTTACCCTTGATTCACATAACTTGCCTTATAAACCTGTCTTCACTCCTATAAAATCCTGATATGGGACTAAATAAGGGGTGTGTTACAGTCACCCCACCTCAATGTATTCGTCCCAACATCATCACTGTCCAGGATTGGATCCCCACCACGCGATGTGGAGTTTAGAGGTGGCTCTTATCATGCTCATGCAACATATCACTTATTTCCACATTTCCAACTGGCTAATCTAGTGCTGAATATCTGTTACGCTCTGGACTTGTGGGCTTGTTAGCGTGATGTAAGCCTCAGTACTCACTACTCACTGAGTGCAGCACATTGTTTGGGTCAAACCACTGCCAAAAATGATTAGCCATTTTTACGGTTGTTTCCCATGACTTATCTTACAAACCTATGGGGGATGGTGTTACAAATGGCTTCGGCTATAAGGGAACATGTGGGTTATGTTTGATTCATAACACTGTAATCGTTCTCTAGGTATCTTGCTACATATAGCCCTGTTTCTATTTTCCTTCTGCTCTATTGCACTTGATGACTTTGTTGGTATGTAAGTAGTACAGACTTCTGGAGAACCTTTTAGCTATTGATTCTGAATTTTTCACTTCTCTTAGTTGATTCATTTAGTGGTCTCTAATATGATAAGTGTAATAACAAACAAATTTTAAAGTATGCAGAAAGGTGAAAAAAGGGGGAGAGATAGGTAAGTAGAGATGCAGAACTGAGAGTTTTAGAATTTCTTTCGTTTGGATCAGCACTAACATATATTTGCAAATTTTAAATTTGTTTTCATTTGTTGAAGTAAGATATATTCACCTCATGTCCCCTTAGAAAAGCATAATCTCATAGTTAAAAGACATCAAAGAGCTCAGCAGATTTTGATTGGCTAGATTACTCATCAACAAGTTAGTGGTTAGTACTAGCCCTGATGATCAAACATGATTCGTAACTGTGTGACGCTCTGTAAATTTTCTCTATGTGACTTAAGGGCCTTATGGATTAACTTGGTTAGGTCAATTTAACTTGTCAAGTTTTCCTACCATTGGTCATATGCATGTGCAGCTTCCAATATTCAACAATTTGTAAATTGGTATTAAAAAACACAACTTGTTCTCAGCTATCTTCTTGTCTCTCTCATTTTATGCTAAAGTATTGTTTCCACATATTGTTTGATCACAGCCTAATAGTTGACAGATAATCAGTAGCTTAGTTGTATAGTTTAGTAATGTTAGTTGACAATCAAATGGAATTTCATAACATGGTGAGAACCTGGAGGTTTAATAATATAGAAATATGGTCTCAAAATTAAGATAACTGGACATTATGATTTCACACGATTTTACTAGATCAAGGCTTTGTTTCTCAAGCTGTTCTTGATACATATACAACATTATGATATGATGTACATTGTTCACATCTGTATATTATAAACTGATCTGGGATGAGAATCCAAAGAGAGTAGGTTTTGCAACTAAACTTTTGTTTGAATTCCTGGTGGTCACAAGTTTCAATTGCATAGTGGCTTCAAACAATATTTCTTTTTATCTGCTATTTGTGACATGGAAAACAATATAATGTATTTGACAGCCATTGCGTGCCATTGGAAAATTGTAGCTTGTAAGGTATTATGAAGCAAATTATCTCTTATATTCAATGAGTGGTTTCCTTTAACACTTTTGGTCTTTCTTTTATGAACTTATTCTTGTCATAGTTGTCATATAATTCTTTGTATTTTTCTGGTGCAGGCCTGTAGCAGGTCAACATCAGGGGAAGGTAAGCTTGGTTTTCCAAGCATCGTTTGCTGTTTCTATTGACTTCTGGTGTCATGCAACATTATCTACTCATTTATACCAGAACTCATGCCATCTTATTGTTTTCTCTATGGAGAATTTAAAATTATGCACAAAACTAGAAGCGTTTTAAACATAAAACTCATTATGTGTTAGGATTGATTGGACCATTGAGTGACATGGCAATTTGGATATCTAAGTGCAAATATGTTACACGTAATACAACCCATAACTCAGTGGCATAAGTAAGAGCTTTGAGATATCAGAGGAAGGTAATTAGTTTAAGGCCTTTAGAAAATGAAGATTTGCTCAAGGATAACGTTAATTGCTATCAAACTTCTTTGAATATTGTTAGTGGTGTATAAAATTGCTTCTTAGGCTTCAAAACGTGTTATAGTTACAGAATAGTGGCAGGTAAATAAATGAATTGTTGAATTCACATACATTGTTCACTTTACTTTTTCTATGTTATTTGCGTTGGGTATTCCTGCCTGGTGAGGACCTGTTGTCGTCTTTCTCTTTATTAATATCTTTTTCTATGGTAAATGAGAATGTAATTCTCATGCAGCCTTTCTGAATAAATTTAATGGTATTAAAGAAAAAAACATTTGTGCTGATAAGTGCAGGAATTTTGGCCGATCCATTACCCATGCTTTAGTCACAGGTTGAATATTGAAGGGCAAGGTCGTTTGTGTCAGTGTTAGCATCCTTAGTTTGTCAACTGGTTCATCCATGAGCTTTTGAAATTTAATGGAAGTCTTAGTTACTTGCTCTAAAACATGAATCTTGGGTGTCTTTTGTTGAAATTTGAGAGAACTCAAGACAACCCTTGAGTCCTTTGCTTTAGCAATATTAAAAATGAATTTCCGTCTGATTAGCTGCTCAAATGAGCATGGAAGTGACTATTGGAATAAAAGCGGTTTAAGTTAAAAGTTATTTATAGAAACTTGAAAGTCTTATGCAAAACTTAAGGATGGCAGATTCTTATGATTTTTAGGCTACAAGAATACAGAAGTAGGATTTTATAGGGGAAAATTTACTCGTTTATTTAGAAATTACGTAAGTTTAAAGCTTGAAATAGAAGTCTGCATTGGATTGAGGATGTAATTAATGGCGGGTATTTGTTAAGGTTGATACGGAGGGGTGATTACTTAGGCAAGAAAAAAAAAAGACAAAAAAAAAGGAAGTGGAAGATAGGAAGAACACTATCTTGAGTCTTGACAAGTGACAACCATTTTAAAACATTCGCAATCATAAACCATGTTAACTTGGTCTAAATACCTTTTTTTATCTCTCTGTAACTTAGAACTCTATAAACGTTTTAGATCATATGTTATAAACCAAAAACATATGGCTCAAGTCTTTGTGACGAGCCTGTTAGAACTTCCAAAAAATTACATAAAAACTAACTGGTTCATGTTTTCTCAACAACTATTCGTTTAAGTTTTTATTGAACGTAAATTGAGTCATTGACCTAATTCCATCATGTATCGAGGTCTAATTGTGCGTTATTGATCACATCTTTACATTGGAGGAGATTTGAAACATTTCTAGTTTGGATACTGGATCAAGTTGAACATCAATTGTGCTACAACTTAAATTTGTTTAAAAAATTATTATTAATTACAAAAATCCACAATCATGTACTTAAAGAAAACGATCTGTTTTGGTAGCATCTTCTTTTGTATCATGGATGGCTCCTGAATGATGGAAATTTTTCCTAAGACTGCTTGGCTATAATTTAAACTTTCTTAAAAAGTGGAGACATATTGGTGTTCTTAAGTGAGCAAAACGAAACTAGGGTATGCCATAAAATTATCAATATTCATTGAATAAAATACTTTCACTTAAGACTGGGGTTAAGATAAATGGATGATTAAGAGGGGGAGCAAATTCTTTAGATGTGACGATATTTTGATGGTAGATGTATGCCACTGCAGTGCAGGGGATGTTCTTTTTCTTAGCCGTAAGTGCTTGCCTATGTTACTGTTTTGATAGCTTAATCTTGGATACACGTTTAAATGAGATTCATAGCTGTTTACAAATCTTACGCCCTCACCCTCACCCCAAAAAAATAAAATAAATAAATATATAACAAATAATAAATAATAAATAATAATCCAATGACATGACTACCATGTACTGTAGTTTAGAGTTTCTCTACTTCCTGCCGAGTTAACCCTTCTAGATTGCTCTTCTATGCAAATATGGAAACCCAACAAGAATTTTGCACACAGTTGTGATTGTTCGTTTGACTTTCTTGTATCTCTACGTTAATGTGGCCAGTTACGTCAGTCTTGATTTGTCTTCTTGTGTTGTTTTTATGTGATCAGCTCGCTTGAGAGCTCCAAAATGGTTGAAATGTCCAGTGGGTGCATCCTTTGGTTTTGGAGGCAAGCTTGTTTCTTTTCAGCCTAGTTCATCAGCGCTTGGCACTCCATCTAATAGTTCTGAGGTAAACCTAAACTTTTCATCTTTGTTAAGAACCTCTATCTCAGTATCTCACTTACCTTCCTTTATAGGTTTACGTGCATAATTTGGTTACTGAACACAGTTTGGTGAGTCGGTCTACTGAATTTGAAACTGCAATGCAAGATCGCGACAACTCATCATTGAGATTGTTATGTCAGAAAAAATCTGAGGATTGCATGTATGTCGGCTTTTCAGAATAAGAATTTTATTGATATTTTTTATGCATATGCAAATTTTATGTTTCTATCCTTTTATCATTGATAGGTCCAAGGATGATAAAGAGACTTGGGGATTTTTGAAGGTTATGTTTGAGGAAGAAGGAACCGCTAGGACCAAATTACTTACTCATCTTGGTTTTAGTGTGCCTGATGAAGGAAGTGAAAATGCAATTGATGAAGTTGAGAAGAAATTAACTAACACGATGAACTTAGAAGAGAAGTCTAGTACATTCTTGGTTGACAATGGAGAAGAGTTTTTTAACAGTCCCCAGCCCTCTATTGATAACCTTGTTGAAGACAATGAAGTTCCTAAAAATAAGCAGATAGAGAAAGAGTCTGAGGAGCACAGGCAGAGCACCGATCCCTCAATTGATGAAAGTATTCAACGTGCTTTGGTCATTGGAGACTACAAGGGAGCAGTTTCACAGTGCATAAAAGCAAACAGAACGGCTGACGCACTGGTTATTGCACATGTTGGGGGTCCCTCGTTGTGGAAACTTACTCGTGATCAATATCTTAGGAGTAGTCTGTCGCCCTATCTAAAGGTTTGCATATACACATTTTTTAGTTAGTTCATAGTCTTCATGCAATATTGTCTGCGTCCGAGAAAAGTGGGATAGCGTCGAGTTGTAGTGGAATTGTAACTATAATCAAGATGTGTTTAATGCTTTTGTAGGTCTTAGAGCAGTTAATGGGTGTTATGCTTTATTTTATTTATTTTGTTTTCTTTTCTGAACATTCAGGTCGTGTCTGCAATTGTGACTAATGATCTAATGAGCCTTGTGAGTGCTAGGCCACTTGACTCATGGAAAGAGACACTTGCTCTTTTGTGCACGGTGAGATATCTTGTTCTCCTTAAGTATTTAATATTTGATATCTACGTGGGTAATTGTCATGCATTGTGGATATCTGAAAGTAAGGATTGCAATAAGTGCTGAATGATTTCGAAAACTTCACTAAAATTTCAGTTCCATTTATTTTTTGTTTATTGATTTTGGGATTGAGGTCCCCTTATCCTTTGTGCTGCATCCGTCCTCACCCGCCTTCCTCAGCTGCCTTTGCTGCTTTCATTGTTTTTAAAAACGGTCTGGATGCCTGCGTAGGCGGGTGCTTAAACCTAAACAGTACTTAGACTGCCCGCCTGAGTCTTGGGAACGCCAAGGTGAACACGGGCTGCTTACAGTATATTGTATGTTGTATTGATTGCTTAAGCGTAGTAACGGTTGAAGACAATAGGCTAGGCTAAAATGGATTAGATCAAAACTGTCCAAGTTCACTCAGGTAAAATGGTGAGGATATTGATTTGAATATTCAAAAACATTCCTTCCTCTCGATGTTAAAAGTTCCTATGTGCCACTTAGGTATCCGCCTGTGAGCCTGGGCGCTAGGTGCTAAGTCTGGCACCTACTACCTAGTGCTCTCTAAACCATTGGCTGCTTTCCCTCCCCATGCTACTCACCCTAAACTAAAACGCAGTGCAATCATCACTGAGGCACAATGGTAAAGCCTCTTTTGAGTATCCAAGAGGTATGACATTTTAATCTTCCAATTTGGTAGACTACAACCATCTCTCAACCATGCATACACTCAGATACCGTCACTACCAAGTACCAACAACAACATCAGCAGACTTAAAAATAAGGAGAAGATTTTGAAAACAACCTGAAAGGCTGTCGCTTAACCTGAATTAATAAACTTGCTAAACAGATTGGTTTATGGGAAAAGTTTAAAGAAAGTTCTGTATACTTTTGGTTCTCTTGTCTTGCGCTTTTTTCACCTGAAGAATCATAAAATTCACAGCTTCTTGTAGGTTGTACTTGTTTGAAAAGCTTGCTTCAGATGATCTCGTATTTTGCGAATTATAAAGTCTTTCCTTGGGACTTTTCTCTAGTTCATTCATCCATGTTTCTCCCAGTTTCTTACCATAAAAGCATTTGATTTTTTCAGGAATAGTAGTTACTGCTAGCGGTTAAATATTTTCCATGTCTACATTGTCAACCACGAAGCATGTGGATGCAATATGAATGATTCTATATTTTCATTACGATTTATTAGACTATTAGGCTGTGAGATCTCATCTTCAGTTCCCTGCTAAACTCTGGCCTGTTCAGATTGTTAAATCAAACTAATTTTCCAATTTAAAGTTATAGCAAATAAAAGCATTTTGCAATTTGCATCTGTTGCAGTTTTCTATTATCATCTTTAACACCAGAGCCTAAGCCTTCTACCATCAAAATGGGGTACCTTTGAAGCATAAAAGCCCCCAAAACATTAAACAATGTCTCTTGATTGATTGGACATTGACCTTCTATGAGTTGATTCCAAGTCTTTGAAATTACGACTACGATTAGGAGGGTACACACCTATGTAGTCTTATCAAGCCACCCAATTTTACAAAAGTCAGACACTTCAACATAATACAACACTTGGACACTTCTCATGTCATAAAAGAAAAAGAAAAAGATCAACTAATAACATTTTAAGAAGGGACAAACCTTATAGACATAACGGATGGGAAGGATCGATAAGGGAAGAATTGGAAGAAGGTCTCCTCATCCAAGTCATCTAATCCTATGTCATATTTTGTTGTTTAACTATGTCAATATCACAAGATGGGTAAACAAGGAACGCAGAAGGGGGAGTTTGTTGTTCTTTTTTAAGTATGTGACCAATAATACACACGTCCTTTTGTTCAAAAGTTTTCATACCAAAGACTTCGAGATACTCAGAGGACACTTGCATCCTTGTGAATATTACATGATGAGTTGTTGGTGGAATTTTTCTTGGATTATGTAATTTAAATGCTCATGCAATGAAGGAGCTACATGCAAAATTCCAAATCCATGTATGCTTGGTTGATGAACTTCACTCCTAAGCATCAATTATGGGAGACATATAAGTATATATTATGTGATCATAGGTATGTGCTTATATAAATTTAACTTTATTTCTTATTTATAGTTTAATTGCCCATAACAAGTTTGCCTAGTTACATAAAAGAAAAACCAACTCTCAGACGCACAGATAATGGGTGTAGAAGTATATTGATGATGATTGTAAGAGGGACAATATGCTTTGTATAGTTGCTAAAATTTTCGTAAATATGGTGGTCTTTTTCATATACTTATTGTTTCAATTTTTAAGCCTGTATGGGTATGGTTCATTTTGATTTGGTGGAGGAGATAAGATAATCAATACTTTAGCATCATGAATAACAAAGTTCGATGACGAGATCTGCTGAGAAGGTTTTTGTGTGATAATAAATATTTTAATTCTTTTGAACTGATTCTACAACTTACATTAGTTGTGTTTATATTTTCTCCTTAAATTATGGGAGAGTTATGGGTACTTTTCATTGCATGTGTGCATGCGGTTTGCTTTTGATTTCTTTAATAGCAATGAAGATGCTCCTAAATGTGTTGATAATGTGGTCGGTTAACAGTTTGCGCAGAAGGAGGAATGGACTATTCTTTGTGACACCCTTGCTTCAAGATTAATGACGGCTGGCAACACACTTGCTGCAACTCTATGTTATATGAGTGCTGGAAATATTGAGAAAACTGTAGAAATTTGGTCACGCTGCCTGAAATCAGAGCATGACGGGAAGTCCTATGTTGACCTACTGCAGGTGATAGTTTTTTAAAATCCCATTGTTCCGTCTGTTATTCCATCACCAAAAGATTAACAAATCTATGCATTTAAATAGGATCTAATGGAAAAGACTATCGTCCTTGCGTTTGCAACTGGACAAAAGCATTTCAGTTTATCACTGTCAAAGCTTGTTGAGAACTATGCAGAGCTGCTTGCTAGTCAAGGACTCCTCACTACAGCAATGGGATATTTGAAACTCTTGGGTTCAGAAGAATCTTCCCATGAGCTTGCCATCCTTCGTGATCGTCTTGCCGTTTCAGCAGCAGGTATTTAAATTATACTGTTTGTTAGTTCTAAGACGATTTATAGTACAATTCACCTTCATTTATTATGTTGTGAATTGCAAAACTTAAAGATGTTATTTAGATGCAGCATGATCTATGCAATATTGGAGAAATTTCAATAATGTGAATGACTTTCTTTTTTATGATTAGTTTCTTTATTTGCTGTGTAAGTGACCCTCACATATTATTTCTTAAATCAGAAACTTGATTTAAGGTTTTAGTGAATGAATTCTGTCATTGAATGTTTATTGTATGAAGTTAGAAAGTTTTAATAATGAACAAGGAAAATTCATATATGAAGATTCCCTTTTTTCTATTTTCATGTCTCTTAACTGGAATTTCTATAAAGAAACTGGTGTGCTGGTTACACACACACACAGAGAGAGAGAGAGAGAGAGAGAGAGAGACAGACACAAACACATGCATGTGTGTGTATAGGACCATGCTTATCTGCTTGATAGAATATTCACAACTTTTAGAAAAATTTTAAGGAATTGTTTATGTAAAGTTTATTTCATAGAAAATGTCTAAAAATGTCTTCTCAGGTGCTTTGGTGTCTCCTTGTCTGTTAACCTAGCGGGAAAAGCTCTTTTAATTTTCAATTGCATGTCATACAAAATTTTAGTTGCTTAATTGCATTTGAAGCCATTATACAAGCCTTAACCTTTCTGGTTTGATCAACTGGTCAGATATTTTATTAGCAGAGTCAGGGAACTATTGCCACAATATGGACTGATGTGAGATCATGTTCTTTTACCCATCCCTAGCTTTTGTGCAAATTCTTGCTCCAACCTGCTCATTTTGCTGCTTTGCAAGCTTCAACATATATTTTGCTTTAGTTGTGGAATATTTCCTGCATCATTTCCAAGCTTCAATTTGAATCTGAGTATCCGTCAACTTCTAAAGGAATTCCGTTGATACTTTTTAACTACATGATCCTTTGTTCTTTAGAGATACTGGAGAATATTGTCCTCCGAGAGTCAACCTGCACTGCGTGTGCTTATGGTAACTACTTGAGATAAGTTTGGGACAGTATATGTAACAATGCACTTGACGTGCTTCATGAACTCTATCCACATTAGATGTACCCTTGAACTGCTTCATGAACTGTTCCTTCTGTAAGTGTCTTGTATGACATGCTCATGCGTGCAAGTGGGAGAAAAGGTGCAACCCAACACCCTCATGATTTTATCCCAAGTTTGTGGTCAGGAGCAAGAGGTTTATGACTAGAGACTTCTAATCTTAGTTAGTCTTCCGTCACATTTTCTTGGTAATAACTATGCTTGGTCTGAAAGCTAGGATACCCTTCTTTGGATTTGACATATTGAACTTAGCTTGGGTTATGGCTCCTTGGTATTTGTTTCTCATCTCTTTACAACATAATAGCAATTACATATGGTCCTTCAAACAAACCTTCAATAGATCTAAAACAGCAAATAATATTGCTGCTGGCAGCAATCACATATCTCCTAAGTGTAGGAGATCAAAACACGTAATATTTAAAATAAAATAAAAAACAGTACCATTTCTTTGAATTTATTGTACTGATAATCCTAACCCAGATTATGAATAATGCCAAGCTTGCATGGTGTTAGCTTTTCGTTAATTTTTAAACCTTTGTTTCAATTTTTCATTAATGAGTAGCCAGGTCGTCTTTTAGCAGCATCAGCTTAGAGCATTAATTTTAAAATTAAGATAAGGAAATAAAATGCAAAAAGCAACCACTAGAAATTTGGTGAAATCGCTGCATATTTAGAAAATATAAAACAGTTAGCTATAAATTTTACGTGTTCATGTGTGTGTGCCACAAGATCAATTATTTAATCTATCAGAAGATGTGATATTTTTCATTTGTGGTTACATTTTTGTCTGCCAGGTTGTACATTAATGTCTAATACTCTAGTGATCATGCTAGGTTAGGAAATTTCTTAGTTATGCAGATGGTGTCAATGTTTTAATATTGGTTAATTTTAATATGAATATTGTATTGTACTCATGGTTTTCTAATTTTGGATGTATGTTCTTGAACTTGATTGATCTTATCTGCAGAGAGAGAAGAGGCTCAGACATTGGCTTATGGAAGCACTACAAGACAAGCTGATTTCACATATAGCACTGAGACATCCAGTTATGGTGCTGACAGTTCACACCAATTTTATCAGGTATTTATGTTAAAACATTGTTGGATTTCTCTTAATCTTAATAAGTTACAATGAAATGCTGCAGCTGCAACGTTTCTTATGCATGTGCCTGTAATAGGATAACCAACAACCCCCAGAGAGTGTTCCAGCTCATGCATATGCTGATGGCTATTCACAGCATAGTTCTTATGGAGGATATAAACCAATGCAACAAGTGCCAACGCCAGTGGAGCACATGCAATTTGCGAGTAACACACAGTTTCAACCGCAGCAGCAGATGTTTATCCCATCTCAGGTTCCCCATTATCAGGTATTTCTGTAAACTGAGATTGAGGGTGGTAACTAGTTATCAATGTGTAGACTCTATGCTGCTAATCATGTTCAAGTAACTCCTTTTCAGTGATCTTGATGTTCTTAAGTCTTTCTTTTAGACTAGCATAAAATATCATATTTACTTAAATTGATCTTGCCTTTAATTGTGTTTGGCATGAATTTCTGGATGCTATCATCTTAAGAGTATAAACTATGATTGTTTATGTAAATTCTTAATCTACAGTGGATTCAGTATTCAGTTTACTCCCAACTTGTTTACTCTGGATCATATGCATGTGAAAACCATGCCTCAGTCTATATGATCTAGATTATTATTGTGGACTTTGCTACAATTCAATTATGGTAATAAGAAAGATCCTTTAACACTTGATGTTATGGTAAGAAAGACCTTTTAACACACTTGATGTTATGGTAAGAAAGATCTTTTAACACACTGGATACAGTGAAGCCAAAGTTATAATGACCTATATTGTCAAGCATCCTAGTTCTTTTAAAAAAGTTCTCCGACTTTCTTCCTTCTCTTATTTTGTAGAAATTAGTAAAATATAATTTTCTCTTTTTAATTCCTTATTATGGGCCTTAATTATATTTCTAATTTCTATATTTCTTCTCTATGTTGCTGTTTACCTCTGGCTGCTCCTTCTCTTATGTATTACTATAGCAACATCTGATGTCCTATTCTTTTTTTTTAGACAAATTCTCCTGCTCCTCCAGTTCAAGTACAGCCTCCAGTGAAGTTTGTTCCTGCAGCACCTCCTCTTATTAAAAACGTGAATCAATTTCAGCAGCCGAGCTTGGGGTCTCACTTGTATCCGGTTTGTCTTTTTATCAGCTGATAACAAAGTACTCATTTCTGACTTTCTTAAGCGCTTGAATGCATCCTTCTTTTCTCTTTGGAATTAGGGAACAAGCAATCACATGCATCAAACTGGACTACCTGCACCTTCTCACGGTCTTGGTGTACCCCATCCAAGCCTAGTTCCTGCTCATAACTTTCCCCCAACTACGACACCTCCACCAGCTGCTACCAGTTTTATGCCTGTTTCAAATCAAGGTTTCGTGCAGAGACCTAGTTTTAGTCCTGCACAGCCCTCCAGTCCTACCCAGCCAGCTCAAATGAAACCAGCTGTTGCACCTCCAGCCCCTCCACCAACTGTGCAAACAGTGGATACTTCAAATGTGCCTGGTAATCATGAAGCAAATCTAAAAACATGCCGCATTTAACTATCTTGTTCTAGGAAATGATTTTCAATAGAACTGAAAAATATCTGGTGGTTATTGGTAGACTATATGCATGTTATACGTATAATTCCTTGTTTTCTCTGTCGCCAAATTTAACTTGCTACTCATGCAGTTCTATTGTTGCAGATTGACCCTCTGAAAGAATTCTATTGTTGCAGATAGACCCTCTGAAAGAGTTCTATTGTTGCAGATAGACCCTCTTTCTATTGTTGCAGATAGAACCCCTAAGTGAAAATCTTTTGTTGCAGATAGTCTCCCTGAAAAGGGTTAAAAAAAATTTCACTCAGGGGAGTGTTTGCAACAATAGAAGTACATGGGTAGGGTAGTAAGTTCAATTTGGCTATTACACTATAGGGGTTCTATCCGCAATTGATTTCCTCTTTTCCTTGAATTTCTTGTCATCATTTAGTATCTTAATCATTCTGATGTTTACAATTTTTCCCTTGGCATGTAAATATAGTTGAACTGCGATCGAGTAAATTTGGCTTTTTGGAAGTTCTCTTGTATACACACACACTTGAAGGCACGTGCATGCACTCACCAATTTGCTATTTGGATTCTGATCTCACCTTTTGTGCATCTACAGCTGAGCTGAAGCCTGTTATAACGACATTAACCAGACTTTACCATGAGTCATCAGAAGCGCTCGGTGGTTCACACGCAAATGCATCTAAGAAACGGGAAATCGAGGACAACTCACGCAAAATTGGAGCTCTTTTTGCAAAACTTAATAGCAGGGACATATCCCCGAATGCTGCAGCTAAGCTTAGTCAGCTCTGCCAGGCTTTGGACACGGGTGACTTTGCCGGTGCCTTGCATATTCAGGTATACTTTGAGAGCTAACAAGATTAGTATTATGATATTAATCATTACAGGACATAAATTATTATGAAAAAAAGGCATTCAGTGGTATTTTTATTTAGTTGATATATTATTAAATTGCGACCAGTGATTTTAAATATAATGTATGGTATAAGTAATGTGGCGTTTAGTCTCTGTCTGGGTACAATTTAGCATGTGGTTTCATAAGCTTCTTGGATATCATCAAGTTGTTAAATTGTTTGCTGCTAGTTTGGTCAATGATTTCGTTCATGGATATAGATAATGTCCTTCAGTTTAGCAGCACCTTAGGATAACATATCCTTAACATTAATGGTGGGGTTTAATTATGAAAAAGCTTTCGGTGGATGCATGGCCGCCCAGAGACAGAGAAGAGGAAGATGTAGGGTCTTATGTAGTTTGTTCTTGGTTTTTTTTTAACTATATAACCCACAAAAGCTCTTCTTTGCAGATGTACCCACTAAACCTAAATATTTGATAATTTACCCCTGCATTCTGTAGTTAAATATCCCTCTCATTTAATACCGTTAAATTTTAAACTAAGAAGGGATAAAGTGACAGAAGTACCCCCTTCCTGAAAACTTCCGTTTTTTTGCTTATGTACCCCCAAAATCTACCCAACTTGTAGATTTACCCCCCAAATGTGTACATTTGCTAATTTACTCCAATAATCTTTAATGGTATAAAAGAACGTAAGCGTAAATAGCAAATATTTTTTTTTTCGGTTGTTTGGGTGGTGGGTTATAAATATGCAAATAGGATAGATTCGACGGTATATAGGCAGAAACTGTTTCTTTCAAGAGTCAATATCTTTTATGCTGCTTTTTACTGCATTTTTTAAACATGTAATTGAATGCCTGGAGTTTTTACGCTGACAGGTGGTTTTAACGACGAGTGATTGGGATGAATGTAACTTCTGGCTTGCTGCACTGAAGCGAATGATCAAGGCGAGGCAGAGTGTTAGAATGAATTAGGACAGTCGGATGCTCATTCTTTTCAGGGATATTACTCAGTATACACAGGATTTTCATTTTCCTTCTCTCTGAAGGGAGAAATTAATTGTTATTTATACCTCGTAGGTTCTCACCCCTAGATTTCCCATTATTCAGAGTCATGTGGTGGTTCCTTACGGTGAAGGCTGGCGTTATTGTGTGCGTTTGTGCCCAATATTTCTTGTCAATTGACGTGTCTAATTTTGTTTGAATTCTAGGTTTTTTGGGGGTTTTCAATGTTTCAGAGTAATGTTTTATATTTATTTAAAGAAATTTTCCTTTTTAACTTTGAGCTGCCGTAGTCACCCGAAGTAGACAGTTTTCTTTTTGTGAACTCTTCATTGCAGCCAAAAAAACATATATCTGGCTATGATTATTATGTTTTTGTTTGGCCTTGGTGATTACTCATGAGCTTTTATATGTTTTTTTTTCCACGGATTTTGTCTGTACAGGAGAAATAATCTGAGAATTTGGATAAATTGTAAGCGAAACGAGGGGAGAAGGTTTTATCACTTCCAAATTCAATAATGTTTTGAAGCTGCTTTGAATTGGATTTACAGTCTATTTATTTGTTACGAGTATTCTGGATACTGGGGCAAGTGGATGGAGACAAAAAAAACAGAGCTCCTTTTCCTTCTTTGATCTTGTGGAGCTGTTGTTTGTTATTTTCGGTTTAATTAGTAAATACATTATCGCATTCCATACGTCAGATTCTGTCTACATTTTTTCTTTTATCATTCTTGTGCGAAATGTGGCGAGGTTAAGTACTCACTGAGAAGATAGTATTGGAGTATAGATTGGCATGATATCACATTTTATGTGAAATGTCAGTTGAACAGGCACAATAATAATAATTTATTATTATTTTATGGATGAGCTCGGGAGTGAAGGCCTAGAGCCTGTTGGTCTTGGCGAGGTAGACGACTGTCGCGGTGGTGGTGAGCGGGATGAAGACGTCGTCGGATACGGCTCGGGTGGGCCCCGGGATCACCCTCTTAGCGAGTAGGGCCAGGACGGGGACTCCGAATATGTAGAGGAAAAGGTCCTTCGCTCCCTGTCCGACGTGGAAGCAGTCGGGCCTGACGACCTTCTCGATTATCCGCCTGAACTCATCCTTGGTCAGTTTAGACCCTTTGCCACCCGTCACCTCCTGCGCAAACGTAATGAAATACCGTCAGGTAGGGGGCGAGCGCATTCGTAATGTCATGCGGGTCTCACTCGTACCGTACGAGTGCAGGGCCTCTTCCAATTGGAAAATGATAGGGGCACACCCTCAACCACAATCTTAACCACATCTCCTCTCTCATTTGCTATAGTGCACCGGACCTTACATGTGATTTTAAATTTTTAAAATCTCATATGGGGCCGGGTACACTGTAGCAAATGAGAGAGGGGGTGTGGTTGAGGTTATGGTTGGAGGTGTGCCCCTAGTGCCAATCTCTTCAAATTTGTACACACGTACGTACTTCTTAAAATATTCAAACATACGAATTTCATTTTCTCATCTCACCTTATACGCCGTCTCCAGCGTTTCGATAGACGGTAGCTCGAACTGCACGGGACCGCTTTCCTCATTCAACATCCTGAAGCGCAAATTAATAACCTTGTTTAATTAGCTAACTAACCACGTTCGCAAAAAAAAAAACTAAAACTAAAACTAACGAATATCAAAATAATTTGGTCAGGGTGGAGTGCTCACGCCACAATCTCAAATAAAACGTGGTAGAGACCGTGCTTGGTTTTGACGGCGTTGTCGTAGTACTCCTTCCCGTGCTTTTCTATGTACTTCTCCACGGCCTTCTCTGCAGCCTTCTGTATCTGAACATTGTGAACCCCCTCTTGTTCTGTGCTTAATTAATTAAAAAACCCAAAAAAAAAATGTTGGGGTCGGGGACAAATTATTAATCAGAAGAAGCATATATACATAATTATATTTGAACTCATCGTAAGTGCAATAATTAGGTGCGATAATCATATTAATTAGAACACGGTGCTCGTTTCTGAACTCTACACAAGAGGGAAGTAGAGGCAGATCTATATACAGTCCAGATGAGGCCACGGCCCCCCAAAAAATTTGTGGAAAAAAAAAATAAGGTGGTTTCCGTAAAACATCCCCCTTAAAAATTTTAAGGAACGTCGAATTCCTTTTAGTTAGAGAAGTTTTAGGCACTGTTTGGCAACCAAAAAAAGTGTATTATCTAAGAGCTTGTGTCTTATTGACTTGGTCAATAAGCTAGTAGAACTGTTTGGTGACCAAAAATAGGAGGAGATTATTTTGGAGATTGTGTCTTTTGCAAGTAGCTTTTGGAAAGCTATCTCAAGTAGCGTTTGTCTTTGGGAAGGAGCTGCTAATTTTTTTTCTTCCGTTTTTGCCCCTAATAATTCTAATTTTATATCAATAATATTGCATGTCTTTTTTAGTCATTTAACAAATTTAAGCTAGTTGTACAGCTACTTTTGCCAAATAGCTCTAGTCAATCAGCTAGCTACACAACTAACACCTTTCAGCTACAATTTCATAGCTTTCAGCTACCTTAACACAGCTTTCAGCTATAATCTCGTAGCTTTCAGCTAGTTTTGCCAAACAGAGCCTTAGTTACAAAAGATTAGATGCATGCTTATTTGAATATTTTCTACATAATTTGTCTTCCTCTCTTTGAAAATTATTTTGGAGATATTAACGTCGGCTATTCTACTCGTTTTGTTTGGGTTATGGTGTATCTCTTGTGAATAAATTTGCATTACGAAAAATTTTCGTCTATCTTTTGTACTCCCGAACTGAAATCGTGGATCCGTCCCTGATAGGAAGGCAGGGGAGGTTTCGCGACCCTAACAGTTCCGGTGGCCTCTCGTCTGGCTCGGGACCGTTCTTCTCCCAAGTTAGGGTGTTCCGATGCGATTTGAGTTAACGATGTCTTAACTACTATCTTTCGCTCCCGCGGGTATTAATTAAAATAGCAAATAACAATTTTGTGTT